AAAACCAAAAAAAAAAAAAAAATAGAGTGACAGTGAGATGAGAAATGGTGGAAACTGGCCATTTTTTTATGGAGTGACAATGCAGAAGAAGGAAGAAAGATCTTCTCTTACATTTTGCTTTGGAGGGGTAAATAGTTCTTAATTCATCATGGTCCAATTATTCTTTTTTCCTACCTAACAGTCTCAAAGGAAAGTTTTCACTGATACATGTTTCTAAAATGTCATTATTTACACATTCAGGATGTGTCAAATGCAGAGATATGGTGATACAAAAATAATCAATTAATTGAGTCATTATTTGTGTCTGTAGAGTATACATAAACTCCCCCTATTCATTTTAAGCCCTTATCACAGACCCAAAGTGCCTTTATCTCAGAAAAGTGTGATTTAATTTCAAAATATTTAGTTATCGTTCTTAAATGAGTACTTCAGTGAAAGTCATTACTACTTCGCTGTTCATTATCCCTGCCTCTAAAAAATTGAAGATCTATTCCTCCCTCTAAGAAATTGAAAAACTATGGATGTACTTAGAAGAATTTGTCTAAAATTTTATTTTAGTCTTTAGCTCCAAATTAAAATTGTATCAAAGTGCAAAGTTACAACACTGAAGAATTAAATGCTTATTAAAATACTTATATTAAGATTAGGCCCACACAGCTGGGATGTGAGTAGTTTGGGATCTATGTGGGTTTAATCTGAGAAGCAGTGATTTTGCGTAGAGGATTCTCTTTCAAGTAATATGGGTGCCTTGAACCTGAGAAGAATTCAAGCTGCAATGAAAGACTGACCAGAAATGAACCCAAATCCAGCTCAAAAAAGGTTCTGTATATTTCAGTCGCAGTACATGTGAATGGTAACATTGGAGAACAATATATTGCTTTGCCTTTTACCTAAGTGTCCTATTATATTGCGTTGTGCAGAAAAATGGAATTTAGGGGTTGATATATCTACTTTGGTGAGGGAGACAGTTAGTGGTAAAAAGAGAAAACGAGAGGGTCAAAAAATTCATCGAAATGGAATTTTCTAAAAATTGTATATGAAGAACTCTGTAGTATACTTGTAATGTTCATATACATTGGGGCTCCACTACACTATTCCAAAAGAGTAATTAGTATTGGATGCTGCTAAGCCTTTACAAGTTTTACCAAAATGTGAGATTGGTTAACTTGCTTGGGGGCTCTCAAGCACAGTAACACTACTGCTGTTACTATTATGGACAAGGAGCTGGTGATGCTTGTTCTTTATTGACATTTAAAATGCTATGGAAAAATATTTATGTATGTGATTTTTAGCTCCTTTAGTTGGTATTGCTTGAATCACTTTCCATTTCTATGTGAAGGAAGACAAATTTGAAGCTTAGAACTGTCACTACAATGTTAGAATCACCAATCCCATCTGGGCAGGGCTGATTACTTTCAAAGTAAATAACCACTCTACAAATAGAACCAACAGAACCATCAGCTCCTGGAAGTGCTTTTACAGGGACCTACAATAAAAGCCACAAGGGCACAAGTTATAAGAAAATCTGCAGCTAGTAATATAATTAAATATTTACTAAATAAACTTTGAAATTACTTCACAGATGTCTGTACATTTTGGAAGTCTACTTACAGGTCAAAGTAGTTTACCTCTGTTGCAAAAGTTTAGCTCTTTTGCAAACGGAAAATGTAATCTATCCTCGTATCTCATACATACTTGAATACAACACCTTCCATCCAGACAGCCATGTAAAATACACGTTCACGTGTTAAACCAAAGGCTCCACTTGAATAGACTGCCTTTGTCCTTAAGGGGAGAAAAACATTCCTGCAAATGTTTTAGACTAATTTTCCTCACTTTGTGTTCCCAAGGCAAAGTCTAAAAGGAATCAGTACTACCAGTACTTCTTACAGTGCTCAGAAAAAGTTCAGAACGCTTCCTACAGCTCATATTGTTTTACCTTAAACTTGCTTAGCTGTACATTTTAGGGAGATTTAGAAGCTGGTACAGTACTGTACTTGGTTTCCAACCTTCATGCGTTTTTTACATTACCAGCCAGTGAGACTCAGGGAAACACTGGAGTGTGTAATCACGGCGGGGCAGGAGAGAAGCTTACGTTTATCCACAGCACAAGGTCCTCCCCATACCGCTACCGCTTGCTCTGGGCGTCAGTTTAAGCCTTTGCAGCATTTCGGCATTTCCGAGCAAGCATCCAGCACCGCCTCTCTCTAGGGTCACACTGTTCTGGCCCTTTCCTCCTGCGCACCACAGTGCACGTGGCACTCACACAAGGTGTCCACTCGGCCCCTCACAGTTTTCATTTTCGTCTTCGCCTAGGAACTTAACACCTACTGAACCAATGGAAAAGATTCGCCCTTGAGTTTACACATTCCCCAAACAAGTTTCCGGCGTGTGGACCGCAGCACTTGCGGTCCGTGTCGCTCTTCTGCGGGACCGAGCAGCCGCTCGGGCTGTGCAAGCGCAGACAGACCCTCCGCCTGACTGCTGAGGCCACCATCCCAGAAATCCAAAGCCCTGCCGAGAGCCCCGCAAACAAAGGCACGTAACGGCAAATCGAACCGTCCCACCCCAGCCCTCCGCCTTCTCGTTCTCCTCCCTGGAGAGCGGGAGCCGGGGAGTCACTAAGTGCGCTGCTTCCCCCCCGCCAGGCTCTCCACTGTCTAGCGCCTACCTGTTGCCCTGGTTCCCCTCCACTCAGCAGACCCTCCAGGGGACGAAACCGACAGGGGAAAGCCACGCGGAAGACACAAGACCTGCAAACGGCACCGCAACCTGCTGGCTGGAAGCCCCAAACCTAGAAAGCAAGGTTGGCAGCGCAGCGCATGACCTTCGCAGGCCCGGCGCCCGTCGCGAGTGTCACACGCCCGCGTCCTCGTCGCCCCTGTGCACAGCACAGCAGGCTGGACAAACGCTCCCTGGCCCGGGAGGCTCAAATCTTTCCCCCAAGCGCGACCAAGATGGTGGGTGGCTGTGAACAGCCCCGGACCCCCAGGCCTGGAGAGAACTCTGTGAGCTGCGCCGTCCTCCCCGCTCGAGTTCCGGCGGTCTCTGCCCCGCGCACCCCACCCCTCTTCTCCCCAGCTCCCGAGGGCCCGGGAGGCGCCGCGCGCCGCGATGGGTGGGGCCCGCGTGGAAAGGCTTTAGCACCTCTTCCCCCTCTCCCACTTTCCGGATTTGAGTCCTCAACCTTAGTGTGGACTCCGAATGAGATCAGTGATCCCTGCGGTCCCCACCGTTGCCGTGCAGTGCGAGAAAACCCCTCCCGCCGAGCTAAAAGGCTGGGAAGCTCTCCAGCGCTCGACAGGTTGCGGCCGAAAGTTACCCCTCCGGGCCCGCGGGTTCTCCGCGTCCGCGCGGGGCTCTCGCGCGGCGGCCGCGCCC